TTGTGCTTACGGTTTATAGTTTTGGTTTCAAGTATGAACGTTTTGGAAAAGAAGAGCTCGGATTGATCGCAGTGCACACACCTATGATTTCCGCAATGAACGATTTTGGGATGAACTCTGATAAATGTTTTACTTAACGATGATTTGAAATAAATGATATTAATGTTTTAGCTATATTAAAAATGAAATTTTTACCCTTGATTTTTGGGTGGTTACACCAAGTGGGGGAGATTTGGTGATTCAGGGTGAGAGACCGCAGCGTGGGCCGATTATGTGTTCTGTAGCTTGAGCAAGACGCTACCTTCATCAGTGTTGCTTAGGTTTCGTCGCCTATGTCATGGATACTCGGGATAAGGGTAAGGCAATCGTGGATGATGTGTCGATTGTGTGCGAGTATCCGGATGTGTTCCCAGAGGATATGCTTGGGGTACCTCCGGAGAGACAAGTGGAGTTTCAGGATTGATCTGGTTCCAGGTGCGGCTCCGATAGCCAAAGCGTCATATTGGTTGGCTCCTCCCATGATGCGTGAGTTTTCTACACAATTGCAGGAGCTGATAGACAAGGGATTTATTAGACCAAGCAGTTCGCCTTGGGGAGCACCAATTCTGTTTGTGAAGAAGAAGGACGGGTCTCATCGTATGTGTATCGATTACCAGGAGTTGAATAAGGTAACGGTGAAGAACCGTTATTCCCTCCCGATGATCGATGATATTTTCGACCAGCTTCAAGGTACACCTTGGTTCTCCAAGATTGATTTGCGATCGGGGATCATCAGATGTGGGTCAGAGACGATGATGTGTAGAAGACAGCTTTCCGGACTTGATATGGTCATTATGAGTTCATGGTGATGCCTTTTGGCCTCACCAATGCTTCAGCCACGTTCATGGATCTCATTAACCGGGTGCACAGAACGATGTTGGATCGATCTGTAATAGTGTTTATTGATGATATCTTGGTTTATTACAAGAAAAACAAAATGATATAAATTATTTTTCGGATTTTGACAGCATTGCACCACCTTCTTCAAGAGATCCAATGGAGGGGCAATGTTCTCGGATGGAGCTGAAATTTTAAAGATGTCTTCCCATCTTGTTGATTTTCGATATCACAAAAAATAAGTTGATTCCGACAAAATTTGATATGATTTTCGGCCTTGTTAACAACAGTGTAGAAAGCTGTCCGGCAACCCAATCGGCAGACCAATATGCATCCCACAAGAGATTTAATTGCAGCTCACCATTTCCTTTACGCCTCGTTCCCGATTTTAACAAAAGAAAAGAAGAGAAGAGAAAAGAAAGTCATGAGAGAAAAGAAGAGAAAGGAAAGGAAAACAAAATTTTCTTTTATGTTCCCAAGTTGGAGAGAAGTGGAAGAAAAATAAATCATTTTGTTCTTTCTTTCCAAATCCCCCCAAATCGGAAGGAAAGTTAGGAGGGAAAGTGATCATCCCATTTCCCTCAACTTCCTTCTACTTCCCTCCTTTAATGAAACTTAGGAACACCAATTTCTTTTATTTTTTTCTCATTTCCACTCATTTTCTTTCTTTTCTCTCGTTAAGTTGAACTCGGGAACGGGGTGTTAGTGTGGGCTGGAAAAAGAACACAACAAACAAAAATTGGAGGCATCTTCACACTTTCATACGCCAACATATAAAGTATAATGGCGAGTGACCGGTTCATTGGGGTGTTTCTCACTTTTTTTTATTTTTATATTTTTTTGGAACTATAAAATAATATTATCATTGATATTTTTATCACTGATTTTATTATCTTGTAATTAGTTATTTCCATTAGATTAGGTTAGGTTAAATTCAAGTTTTGTTCGTTAACTTTAAAAAAAACTAATTTCTTACGTGCTTATTTTTATGTATGTGTCGGTATAAATTCAAGTTGGTCAACGTTCCGATGTAAATTAAGAACTTTCGTTTGTCAATTCTAAAAAAAATGTTTTTTTTAATTTACATGTTGATATAAATTTGAGTTTGTCTACATTTTGACATAAATTTTTAACGTTTTCGTGCATATTTTTATACAAATATTCTACGTATGAGTCGAGTCACATATAATATGTTTTTTTATTATTTGAACTTCCGTTCATTAACATAAAAAAGTTAATCTTACTTGCTTATTTATATGTACGTGTCGATCTAAATGCAAGTTTCTTTACCTTTCGATTTAAATTTATTGATGATATATTGGTTTATTACAAGAAAAACAAATGATATATATTATTTTTCGGATTTTGACAGCATTGCACCACCTTCTTCAAGAGATCCAATGGAGGGGCAATGTTCAAGGATAGAGCTGAAATTTTAAAGATGTCTTCCCATCTTGTTGATTTTCGATATCACAAAAAATTAGTTGATTCCGACAAAATTTGATATGATTTTCGGCCTTGTTAACAACAGTGCAGAAAGCTGTCCGGCAACCCAATTGGCAGCCCAAGTAATTTATATGGCAGACCAATATGCAGCCCACAAGAGATTTAATTGCAACTCACCATTTCCTTTACGCCTCGTTCCCGAGTTTAACAAAAGAAAAGAAGAGAAGAGAAAAGAAAGTCATGAGAGAAAAGAAGAGAAAGGAAAGGAAAACAAAATTTTCTTTTGTGTTCCCAAGTTGGAGAGAAGTGGAAGGAAAATGAATTATTTTGTTATTTCTTTCCAAATCCCCCCAAATCGGAAGGAAAGTTAGGAGGGAAAGTGACCATCCCATTTTCCCTCAACTTCCTTCCACTTCCCTCCTTTAATGAAACTCGGGAACACCAATTTCTTTTATTTTCTTCTCATTTCCACCCGTTTCCTTTCCTTTCTTTCGTTAGTGTGGGAACGGGGTGTTAGTGTGGGCTGGAAAAAGAACACAACAAGCAAAAATTGGAGGCATCTTCACATTTTCATACGCCGACATATAAAGAAAAATGGCGAGTGACCGGTTCATTGGTGGTGTTTCTCACTTTTTTTTTTTATATATTTTTTTGGAACTATCAAATAGTATTATCATTGATATTTTTATCACTGATTTTATTATCTTGTAACTAGTTATTTCCATTAGATTAGGTTAGGTTAAATTCAAGTTTTGTTCGTTAACTTAAAAAAAACTAATTTCTTACGTGCTTATTTTTATGTATGTGTCGGTATAAATTCAAGTTGGTCAACGTTCCGATGTAAATTAAGAACTTTCGTTTGTCAATTCTAAAAAAATGTTTTTTATTTTATTTTATTTTATTATTATTTTTTTTTTTAATTTACATGTTGATATAAATTTGAGTTTGTCTACACTTTGACATAAATTTTTAACGTTTTCGTGCATATTTTTATACAAATATCCTATGTATGAGCCGGGTCACATATAATATGTTTTTTATTATTTGAACTTCCGTTCATTAACATAAAAAAGTTAATCTTACTTGCTTATTTATATGTACGTGTCGATCTAAATGCAAGTTTCTTTACCTTTCGATTTAAATTTTGTGTACGTTTCATGCTTATTTTTATATATGTTTCCTATATATGAGTTCGATCACACATAATACATTTTTATTCAACCGTAAAAATTGAAGTTACCGACCTTGTATGTTACTCTACAAACAACTACAACGTTACCAAACTTTTGTCAATATAATTACCAAAATTAAATTTAAATCCATTAGTGTCACCGCAACAAATGACGAGTAAAATCTAGTTAAAACTAAAATGATAACTATCAAGTGGTTACATATATTTGTAGTAATTTTTTGTTTGACAATACCTAGATTCCAGTAGACCATTACCTCTGTCTATCTAACCATGGTAACTCTCGTTGCCGACTCAGAACCATGGCTAGACTCCGAAGTCCCAAGTGCAAAAATCACAACCAAATCATTTGAATCCTTCATCGATTACACAGATTGTTTTTAATCCATAAGAAATCACTACCAAATCGCAGAAAATATTTTAATTTAAAACAGATTGGTGATTTTGTATTGGTTTAAATCCATTTCCATAGTTGAAGCAGAGTGATTGAAGTGTTGATCATCGTTGAGGTGGATACCAAATAAAACGTATGTATTGGTTTCTTTGCTCGTCTTCTTTCTCATCTTTGAAGTGGATATTGATTAAAACGTATTTAGGTTCGCTACCACATGCTTGTTCCAAAAAAAATGTGATTATAGTTCATAATAAGTGTTTGATGAAATGCCTAAATGAATTTTTTGAATTTAATGCTTCATTTATTGTATGACTTGTTCATAGCGCAGTGCTGTGGTTTCATAGAATGTTAGAAAACAATGAACATTTACAGGAGACAAGTACTTAACTGGTAAAATCTTGTTTCGCTAATTTCTCATATTAAAAAAAAGCCTCTTTGTATAAGGTACTAAATCAGTAACCTCTTAGCCTCTTATGATAAGATTAGTTCAGGGTGATAACAAAATACTAATTTCATTGAGCAGCTGCAGAAAATATGAAATAATTAAATAACACTCCAACATTGTCTGAGTTGTCTTCCATTTGAGCGAGCATACAGAAAAGGCTTCTGTAGAACATTGCTTAAGAACCAACATAAACTATTTAAGATTTTTCTACATATAACTGTTAGGATATTTTTTTTAGTGTTAAGATTAATTGCAACTGATACCAACAGAATATGAAAATACTTTTGTATGTATCATGTAAAACTCTATTGGTTTCTGTATTTGAGTCTATATCTATTTTGTCATGCATTGGAGAAAAAATATTGTTGCATCAGGTCAAGTCTATGATGGATGACCTTCATCTGGTAATTTTACTCTATTGGTATTTGTAACTAGAGATTGTGTCTCTGTATATATATTTTAAAACATTTTTGAAATTTGTATTTGAGTAGAAAAATTATCATTTGTATTTGATATATGTTCCTATTTTTCATGTATGTATAAACCACACCTGAAATAACAGAGGTGCCCAAATCTAGGATAATTTTGAAGCAATTATTGGTAAATTCTTTGCTCAAACAGGATCACATACACGGTATACAAGTCTCCACATTATAGGTATACTACAGGGTGCTATAAAACATATGAAATGTTTTTAACCATTAGGCATTCAAACTAATACATATAATCAGGATGCATCATAAGAAACTTAAGAAAATTACACATTGGAAGTACACAGTATCAGGCAACCAGAGATGTCAATTCAAAGCAGATCCTTCATGAACATATTTGAAACTTGGCGCATTATTGGCCTTTCTTTTGGATTTGAGTTCAAACATGCTCTTGCGATATTGAGTACTAAATTTACTTGTTTCTCAACTTGTGGTGAAGGAAGTGGAATCCGACTATCTCCAACATTTGCCAACACCAGATAATCAGCAGACAATGTTGGCAGTTCACCAGGATGCTTTCCTATGATCACTTCTACTGCAACAATCCCAAAGCTATACACATCACATTTCTCGGTTGCCACCATCGTATAAGCAAGCTCTACATCCAAAGATACATAAGACAAAAAAAGTAATATCAACCTGACATGATTCTATGAAAATGTAGAACTACAATCATATGATTACGTTACCTGGTGCGATATAACCATAGGTCCCAGCAATTGCAGTCCAATTGGATGAGTCTAGCTTTAGAAGCTTGGAAGTGCCAAAATCAGAAATATGTGCCTCATAATCAGAATCAAGAAGGATGTTGGCAATGGAAATGTCTCTATGAATTATAGGAGGTGTGCAATCGTGATGCATATAAGCCAAACCATTAGCTACAGCCTTTACAATATTGACCCTTTTCAACCAATCAACTTCTTTTGCTAAGACATCACTTCTTAAGATTGATCCAAGGCTTCCCTTTTCAAGGTATTCATAAATCAAAAATGAGTGGCGGGCATGTGAACAATATCCATAAAGTTTCACTATGTTTCGATGCCTTATGTTTGTTAATGCTCGTACCTCATTAAGGAAACCATTATGATCAACATTCTCAGATGATGATGAATGAAGTTTCTTGACAGCTACCAAATTGTTAGGTTGTAGCTCGGCTTTGTACACAGTCCCATATCCTCCAGTCCCAATGGAGTATGCTTCATCAAAATTATTCGTTGCTTTCAAGATGTCATCATATGCTACTCCTCCATCGAAACTTGTTATGGAGAAATAATCACCACCTTCTTTGTCCAATGGTTTCTGTGGAGAATGTCTCTTTTGTTTTCGATAAGCAATGAGGCCACACATGAAAAAACCAAGTAAAATTGCCCCGATAAGAGGGAGCATAATTACAAGTATGAGTTGATGATGAAAGGGATCATTTTTCTTCTCTGAGATTTGATTTGCACAAAATTTTAGTCCTGTAAAATTTCCACACAAACCTGGATTGCCTTGTAAGGACGCGTTCACAAAGTTAGAGGAAAGGGGAACTGGACCTGTGAGCTCATTGTTGGACAGGTCGATATCAATCCCACTGGGCAAACTTGTAAAAGCATTAGGAATGGAACCAGACAGTCTATTGTGGGAAAGATCGAGTATTTTCAAAATTTTCAAACTTTGAACTTCAGATGGTATCTCATTTGTGAGCAAATTCTGAGATAAATCAAGTTCCGTAAGATGAACTAATTTACCAATATCAGATGGAATTTTCTCACTGAGCTTGTTATTACTAAGATTCAAGTAGTGGATATGTTCCCATTGACTAATACTTCTTGGTATTGACCCATTCAATCTATTTGTGGATAGATCGAATACTTCAAGGAGATCACAAGATCCGAGCTCTGGAGGAATAATACCTGAAAGTTGGTTATTAGCCAAAAACAAATTCAACATACTTTTCATCTTCCCAAACTCCTTTGGGATTTCACCTACCATGTGATTGGAAGAAAGATCAAGCCTTTGTAGTTGAGTCGAATTTCCAAACTCTGGTGGTATGTTACCACTGATATTGTTATTGGCCATCACTAAGGATGTCAAATTCTTGCATTTACTCCAGTTTTGAGAAAGCTGCCCGTGAAAATTATTGTGACTGATATCAAGAAATTTTAAGCGTGGATAGATGCCAAAGCTATTGGATATAACTCCAATGAATTGATTTTGGTCAAAACGAGCCCTAATTAAGCTAGGACAATTCCGTAAGCCTCCTGAAATAGGGCCAGTGAGATGATTACCAGCTACTGAAAGATGTCGAAGCTTTCCCCCATGACACAAATCTTCAGGCAAATGACCAGAAAAATGATTATGTGACAGCTCAAGCGAATGTAGACTTCCCAATCCTTGTGGAACTGAACCAGATAATTTATTCACACGAAAAGACAGAAGCTGTAGGTTGCTGAGGTTTGCTAGTAGTGAAGGAATAGAACCGCTAAGTTGATTGTTGCTTACATCAAGCTTAATTAGAGACTTCAAATTCCCAAGTGCAATAGGAATGGAACCAGAGAGTTGATTTTCTCTTAGATAAAGGAAATTCAAATATGTCAAATCACCCAATGATGAAGGAATAGAACCAATAAGTGTATTGCTGCTCATATGAAGGTCAGTGAGAAACATCAAATTCCCAAATTCAATAGGAATGGGGCCGGAGAGTTGATTGTGGTGCAAATAAAGGAAATTCAAAGTTGTCAAATTTCCCAATGATGAAGGAATAGAACCACTAAGTTTATTGTCGCTCACCACAAGATCGGTGACAGACTTCAAATTCCCAAGTTTGATCGGAATGGGACCAGAGAGTTGATTTTTGTAGAAATAAAGGATTTTCAAAAATATCAAATCACCCAATGATGAAGGAATAGGACCACTAAGTTGATTGTTGCTCACATCAAGAGTAGTGAGAAATGTCAAGTTCCCAAGTTCAATAGGAATAGGACCAGAGAGTTGATTTTGACTTAAATGAAGGGAATTCAAAGATGTCAAATCTCCCAATGATGAAGGAATAGAACCACTAAGTTTATTGTCGCTCACCACAAGATCGGTGACAAACTTCAAATTCCCAAGTTCAATAGGAATGGGACCAGAGAGTTGATTTGTGTACAAAAAAAGGACATTTAAGGATGTCAAATCACCCAATGATGAAGGAATAGAACCACTAAGTTGATTGTTGCTCGCATCAAGAGTAGTGACAGATGTCAAGTTCCCAAGTTCAATAGGAATAGGACCAGAGAGTTGATTTTGTCTTAAATAAAGGAAATTCAAAGATGTCAAATCACCCAATGATGAAGGAATTAGGCCATATATATTGTTTGAGTCTAGGTACAAGTTGGTTAGCCTGTGCAGGTTTCCTATTTCAGGTGGGATTACTCCAGAAAACTTATTCTTTGAAAAATCAAGATAGACAAGTTTGGACAAGAGTCTTATTTCTGGAGGGATGGGGCCAAAGAAGTTGTTCATAGCGAGATCAAAATGTGTAAGATTGTATAGTAAAGAGAATGAAAATTGGTGGAGTGAACCTTTTAAGCCAGATGAACTGAGGTTCAACTTGTGAATGCTCCCATCAGCGTTGCAAACTACTCCAAACCAAGAACTGCATGGAACTGATGCATTGGAATTCATAGGGAAGGGAATCCATGAAGAGAGTAAGGAGTTGTTTGGGATTGTAAGGCTTGCTTTCCATTTAAGAAGTGCATTTGCCTCCTTTAAAGAAGCAGAAGCGAAATTTGGTATGGGGGATAGAGTGATGATTAGTAGAGCTAAAGAGAAAAATAAAAAGTTTGAAGAAGACATTATTTGCTTTGCCATGTTACTTAATGAAAAAAGAGGATTTACATGTCCTCATTTATACTTGAGCTACACTATTTTCTTGTTTTTTATTTTCTCTCTTCAAGAAAGGAAAATTTGGGCAATGCCATATTTTTCCACACGGAGTGTCCTTTACTGAGAAGTCATGGTCATATTTTTCTACAAGGAGTGTGTTAAACTTTTAGTGGTATTTCTCATGGGATTTTGGAGAACAACAAAGATTAATAAAGAAATTAGCAGTAGGTGTTAGCTAAAGCCAAGAGACAATTGTATCCTAGGTGATTCATGGAATTAGAAATGTAATATTATTTCAATCGATTTGCTACACATTTATATTTGTTTTTAAGTTAATTCTAATTAAAAGGTTCAATCGTAAAGCAAATGTACCTATCAAAGTTATTATATGTGAAATTGTGTATAGTTGGTTTTAAAATCAAACTGATTTCGACAAAATTACATACCAATCCGAATTTAACTTCAATATAACTATAACCTTTCTACTGGAAACTTACAATGACTAAATCTAATGAACAAAACTTTTATACTTTGTTTGGTAAGCCACAACTAACTTATTTTTTTGGTTTTTTTTATAATTATTTTTTTTAAGTTGCAATGTTTAGCAAATCAATAATAATTTATAAGCTAGTTTTTTGAAAAGTTACCCAGACTAGTTTTTCAATGGAGTTATAAAGCTTTTTAAAAAATTCTTCCAAATATACCATTTAATAATTTATTAACTATAAAAAACTTATTTCCACACAGCTTAAATAAAAACAAAAAGGAAAAATTCCGTAAACCCCAACCAAAATGACCAATCCTAAGTAGTAACCATTAAATACCAACAAATAAATATGTGAACAAACATTAACATTAAGTTTTTATATTTTTATAAATGTGTTTTTGAACAAATATATATATATATATATATATATATATATATATATATATATATATATATATATATATATATATATAAACAGTTAATCGGTCAATGGTGATGGCTCCTTTATAAGAATCTAAAAAATGAAATGGACCTAGTCTTTTTCTTGAACGTATGAGTGAGGGTAGAGAAGATGGTTTAGAAGGATAATGTTATCATTCTCTGGGTTTAGTTCATCTGTCTTTTTTGTCATCTCCCATAGAGTTAGTCACAACTTTTAAAATCTAAAGTCACTTTGTATTATCAACATCTAAAAGAAATCTCATAGTAACACCGATTCAAAAATGAAAATAATCAAATAAATGATGAAAAACAACTTTATCATCATACATATAAATAATTAATTTTTGTAGTTAAACTGAAAGTAAATACAAATACATGAATAGATAGAAAAACATGGGTACTTCAAATTCACCATATGGTGCTGTGGCTTTTGGACACGTCTAGCTGAAGCTAGCCTCCGACTTCTTTATACTTACACCAAATAATCAACTATATATCTTATTTCTATTTGTACCAACTAACGGTTATTTGAGATCAATTTCTAGAAAAACTATGCATAATCGAATTTCAACATCATTTTATAATCATGTTTAAGAAAAAAACACCATATATATTTAGCAGCTTTTCGGGTCGAATTAATTATGGGGGCTCAACCAAACGAATAATAAACACCTCACAATGTCATACCCACCACAACAAAAAACCTAACCTTTAGCCCGTTGTCGTCTCAAATACCGTCGTGTCTAATACTTGTCGTCCCTACTACACGAATGTCGTCGCAAATAATGTCGTCTCTATTCATATTCCGGATATTCCGGCAACCGACCGGAGTTTTTCCGGCAAACCTCCCCGGAGGTATAGGTCGTCGCAATTGGTTCTAGTCGTCCCTAAAGGCGTCGCTACTAATGTTTTTTTTTAAATTTTTTTTTGAGAAAAAACATATTTTTTATAATATTAGTTTATATATATATATTATAAAATGCAGTTTTGATAAAAATACATAAATAAATACATACCACATTATATAAAAACATCAAACATACCATATTCCATAAAATATCTAATAAATCTCAAACAAACATCTAATATATCATCCATAAACTATCTAAAAAAATCCAAAACAACATCCTCCATATCATAAAACAAGAAATACTATGTGTCTTCGTCTTCCCCATCGTCCTCCCTATCGTTGTTTTCCTCGTTGTTGACTTGCTTTTTAAACAAGCGAATAATGTCTCCAATGGCCGTCACAAATGTCAGGTTTTGAAGAAAAGCATTCACATCAACATCCTACAATTAAGTCACAAGCACATTAAGTCATTAACAATTCAACAAACTATCAAACCATCAAAGCACCAAATCAATTAAGTCATTAACAATTTAACAAACTACCGAGCTACCAAAAATTACTACAAATACATTAAGCTCTTAACAATATAACAAAGCTACCAAATTCTTTAAGAATTTAACAAGTACCTGTGTTGGTTGCGGTGCTTGTGACTGTGACTGCCATTGGGATGAAGCACTTGTACCCGCAGTTGAAGAAGGTTTAGGCATAATGCCTCTCACATGCCCCCTTCGTGTACCCAACACCTTCTCAAATATTGCGATACAACCAATGGTGTCTGACCACCAGAGTCGGCTATGTGATGATTCTGTAGAGCAACCTCAGAAATCAACGCATTTTGTATTTCACAAAGATTGTTAATATACGTTAAAACTAAAACAAAAAAAACAACAATTTACTTCATTTTTAAGTAATAATAACTTACATATTGGTCTTCAACCAAAGGATCAACAAATTCTCCTTTTTTATTCACATGCACACGATAAAATGTTTCAAGTCTATTTAAATTCTGTTTAACATTACAAAATATGTTATACTTGAATAAACATTAAAAAATATGTTATAACTAAATAAGCATTATCGTAACTTACTTTCTTAAAACAAACATTACCATAGCTGCACGTCCCTCCACAATTCTTAACTACTTGCTTCTTCCAACATTCTTTGTTTCCAGCGGATCGTTTTTGATGTTTTTCTGTTAAGAAGTGGTCAATAGCAGCATTCCAACGCTGCATCTCCATACCCGTAGGGGCTTGAGCCCTTGCTGCCTCCACATCCCCTGCAAAATCAGTGAAACGATTTTTTGCAATATTTTTGCGGCCTCTATACCGCGCACATGTCTAATTGTTCAGTGACGCCCAATAAGTTGTAGCCATGAGATCATTTGTAATTGCTCCAAAATCAAACCATGTCTGCAAAAAAAAATAGAGAAATTAAAAATAAATCAAATTAAACAATATTAAATATATAACTTTATAAATAATTTACCGAAAGATATTGGAACATGCCAACCTTTTCTACTTTAGAAACATCATTCCATGAAGTACCATCAACTGGATGAATCATCGTACCATCTTTGGATCGTCCGGTACTGTGCCAAATCATATATGTAGTTGTGTGTCTAGAACAGTACAAACGTTGTAGTCTGGGGGTCACGGGAAAGTATCGTAAAACCTTATGAGCCACCTTATTACCCTTTGTATTTTCATCAACCCACAAATTTATATTAATGGTTGATATTTAATGTCTTAATTGAAATGGTTTTTAGTAATATGTTTTTAAAGTTGACCATTTTAAAACTTTGATAACCGAAAATTCTAGATTTAAAATTTGGGAATCTTTTATTAGAATTAAATACAATCCATTTCAACGAATTAAATACATTCCATTTTGGGAGGATGATGTCAGCAATTTGATATAAGGGTGGAAAACATAGGATTGAAATACAATCAAGGGCACAGATTGTTTAAGATGATGTCATAAGATTTTTTATTTTAATATATACTAAAGATAACATATTATTAGTGTGCTTATTTAATGACATTTTAAAAAAAGAAAAAACTAAACGGGTTTGAATTTTGAAGCGAAAAGCTATAAATAAGGGAGTTAAATTATGGATAATATTAATTAGGGTTAATGATGGCATAGATCGTCAAAAGATGTCTTGAAGGAGATGCATGCTTCAGTTTGTAGAGATTTGTGTGAAGCCAAAACAGAGGTGTGATAATTAGAAAAGCAAGGAAGAGTCAATACACAAATTCTAAGAATACATGAGCAAAAAGAAACGACCTTATGGTGCTACATTCTGTTATGAACACACAAAGCATCAATTGAAGCACGACCATTGACATGAGGACGAAGAGTATTAGGGAATTATGGTTTAAGAGAGAAAAATAGAGGAGAAAGATGGGGCGGCTATTCATGTTTTTTGGCCAGATTTATGGAGAAACTGATATCTCATATATAAGTAGAATGATATGATTTAATCGATAACATAATTGCTGATTTTAAAGATTATATAATTAAATGTAATTGTGCTCGAATTGTGAAATATATTTTAGAAAGTATGGCTAGATTCTATAATTAAAGATTCTATAATTAAATGTAATTGTGTTTGAAATGTAATTGCTAAATTTAAAGATTCTATAATTAAATGTTTGGATTATATTTTGGGTAGATGATGTCAGCAATTTGATCTAATGGTGGAAATCATAAGATTGAAATACAATCAAGGGCCCTGATTGTTTCATTGATGAATTAAGGGTTCTCTTTTAATAATATTCAGAGATAGTAGTCCACGTTTTATCAATAGACATGTTGCGACTGAAACATTAGTTAGGTTTTACTGTTTACTCTACAAGAACTAGAATTAGGATTGAATATTTATAAGGATAGAGTAACCGCTCAATCAGATGGAATAGAAAACCGAACAACGCGAGCTTATTCACAAGGGTAGGCTTCTAAACCCACTTTTTGAATATCTTACCCCATATGCAAATGTGTATTACGTGATTGACCGTATAAGAAAAATTCGGCAGCATTTCCCCTTAGCTCCTAAATATATATATATATATAATTATATACCGAGGAGCAAAGATAAAATAACAACCAAATATTTCTTAAACAATCAATCATGTAATACACATTTACATCCTAAATGAGGTAAGGTATTCAAAAAACAGTCCCAAAACGGGG